CTACCCTTCCCCCTCACAGAGCTGCTGCCCCTCAGGACACAGGCTCATCCTGCCTGATTTAGGGATACTTGCTCTCTCTCCTGAGGGAATTCTGTTCCCCTGAATTCCTGGTACCTGCTGGCTTTCCAGGAGGGGAATTCTGCTCCCCTAAACCCCTGGCACCCGCTCCCAAGGGGGTTTTGCTCCTCTAAACTCCTGGTGTCTGCTCTCCCAAGGGCATTCTGCCCCTCAAAACCCCTCTCCTGAGAGAATTCCATCCTCCTAAACCCCAGTACCTGATTCTAAGGGAATTCTGTCCCCATAAACCCCTCAGTACCTGCTCTCCTGGGGGGAATTCTGCCCCTCAAAACCCCTCTCCCAAGGGAGTTCTTCCCCTCAAAACCCCTGTCCTGGGGGAATTCTGCCCCTCAAAACTCCTCTCCTGGGGGAATTCTATCCTCCTAAACCCTGGTACCTGATTCTGAGGGAATTCTGTTCCCATAGACCCCTCTGTTCCTGCTCACCTGAGGGAATTCTGCCCCTCAAAACCCCTCTCCTGAGAGACTTTCATCCTCCTAAACCCCAGTACCTGATTCTAAGGGAATCCTGTCTGCGTAAATCCCTCAAAACCCCTCTCCCGAGGGAATTCTGCCGCTCAAATCCCCTCTCCTGGGGGAATTCTACCCTTCAAAATCCCTCTCTTGATGGAATTCCATCCTCCTGAACCCCGCTACTTGATTCTGAGGGAATTCTATCCCCATAAACCTCTCAATTCCTGCTCACCTGAGGGGAATTCTGTCCCTCTAATTCCCTCTCCTACTGGAATTCCCCCCTCCAAACCAGGGTACCTTGTCTCCCGGGGGGAATTCTGCTCCCCAGACCCCCTCACCCCCCGTTCCAGCTCGGTCCCGCTATATTTAGCGCGGCTGGAGCAGCCGGCGGCGGTGCCGGTGACGCCAGCACAGCGCATCCCAGCCCGGTCCTGCCGCCGCCACCGGAGAAGCTGCCCCGGGGCTGGAGCTGCTCCGGGAGGTGACACGGGGACACCGGTGTCGTGTGCTCCCTGCTCCCACCATCCTAGGGGGTGGGAATGGGGCTGAGGGGCGCTACCGAACCTTATCCGTGCGGCAGTTCCTAAAAAATTCTTTATTTTCAGGGAAAGAAAAGGGCTCTGGGATCATTTTGAACAGGAGCAGGTTTGTCAGCTCCTGACAAGCTCATTTATGGCTCCGCCCTTGATTGTCAGGCATTTGTGGGAATGCTGGTGGGTTTAATGAGGTGGGGATGAGCACCCAGCAACATCGAGGTATTTAGGGAGCATCCCATGGAATGGAAAGGTGGGATGGAGGTGAGGAAAGAGACCCCAGTGCTGATTTTCCAAGGGATGAGAACATCCTGGTGAGTTCCCCAATGCTCTGGGGGAGATCCTCTTAGTTTCTGGGCACAGGATCCATCCCAAATTTCCCCTCCAGTGCCAGAGTGGGATCAGTGACCTCCTCCTTAAACATTCCCTTAGGTTTTGGGGTGACTTCAGTGTTTTCCTTCTCTTTTCCATGCTCCCTGACAATGCTCCGGCTGCTCAGCCAAAGCCTCATGGATTATTCACTCCCTGTCAGTTATTTCTGTTCCCGGCTCTGAAAAAATAATGAGCCTGATCAGTAGGAAAAGCCCCAGGGATTTGGGGAGCAGGATGAACAGGCTGCCTGTGCTCAGCCCGTGGCCACAGCCCATTACAGCCCCGGCTCCTCACCTGCGGCTTCGGAGCGTCCCGACCTCTCCTGGCTCCACCGGGACCAGCACGGAGCCATTCCACCTCCCATCTGTGTTTTCCCAGTGTGGTGGTTTCCTGGGAAGGAGGCTTCCTCCTCTTCCACCAGCATCAGGGTCTGTTTTCCTAGAGTATCCCAGTGTTTAGATGTGGCTTTCCCTGAAAATGCTGGAATAAGAGTTTAAGTCTCTGTGGGAATGTGGGGGTTTTAAATATATTTTTATTTGTAGGTGAGAATTTGCAGATCCAGGGGGAGTGGAGACTTCCAGGAGCTGGGAATAGCAGGTGACAGGGGCACCACAGAGTTTTGTGTCCCTGCTGATGGTGATCCCTAAGGAAAACCAAAACCCTTGGAGGAGCTGGAAAGGGGAACTGCGAGATGGACTGAGGTGTCCCAAAGGCTCTTCCCCTTGGGAAGAGAAGGATCCAGGAAAACCTTGGCAACTCTTCCAGCACCTGAAGGTGCCTCAAGAGAGCTGGAGAGGGACTTTAGAAGAGCCTGGAGTGCCAGGACAAGGGGGAATGGCTTCCCACTGCCATGGGGTGGGTTTAGATGGGATATTGGGAAGAAATTCTTCCCTGTGAAGATGGTGGAATGTATTTCCCAGGGAAGCTGTGGCTGCCCCATCCCTGGAAGTGCTTAAGGTCCCATTCCAGGACTGCCAGTGGAAGCTGACACTGGTGAAGCCTTGGAGAAGTATTCTGGAACTTTTCTGCAGCCTCAGGAGTTTTCCTGGGAGTGAGCGGATCAAAGGCTGGAACGTCACGTGCAGGGGTTGATGGACACATCTGGGACAGGGTTTGGGAGCGATGTCACCGTGTCCCAAATGCCAGGTATGGATCACCCCAGCAGGCAGCAATGCCCCTCCAACCTCCTGCCTGCTCCTTGTTCCAGATTCCCTTATTCAGGAATGGACACTGGGATGTTTAAAGCCAAAAACCCTGAAACCTTTCCCAGAAAACATGACTTTCCTTCTGGAATCAGTATGGAAAGAGCCCTCTGGGAAGCAGAAACACCTGGAAGCAAAGCAAAATGTTGACTTTTGGTATTTTTATGGGGATATAAAGTTAGTCCCAGGAAGCAGCAAGTTTCTTTGGAGAGCTTTTCTCCATCGTAATCTATTTTCTTTGGAAAAAAACTCATGGATTTTGGGGTTGGAAAAAGAATTTTGGTTCCACCAGGCTCATAAATTTTGTCCTGTGCTGGTGGGAGGGAATTTGGGAGGGTCTCGTTGATCCCCCCTGAGCATCCAGTCAGGCTTCCCCCATCCAAAACTTAGAAAATAGGAAAATGAACATTAAAATCCAAGGAATGTGTTTTATACATCCGCAAAGCCAAAAATTCCTGCACAGAGAAGGCTGGAAAGCTCCACCACCCGGCCCTGCTGCTCCCCTGCATCTGCTTCAAAGCTTCACCTCCTCTGGAATCTGCTTCCAAAACAAATCCTGACATCCTACCTTGGGCTCCTGCCATCCCCAGCTGGCCCTGGGTTTATTTAGGAATGGGAAAAGTGCTTTTTCCATGGATCACCCGCTTGGAAAGTGGGGTTTGGGGGGCTGAGGGCAGTCATGGCTGTTACTGGCTGCAAGGCTGGAACTTGAGGAATGCTGTAGGAATCTGGAAAGGCGGATTTGGGAGGAAATCCACCGTGCAGGGTGGTTTTGGCTGGGAATGTGAGCCGTGGATAATGGTGGAGGATACCCTGGCTGCCTAAAGGCTAAAGAGGGGATCCCAGAATTTCCACGGGGGCTCAAGTGTTCCTTCCTGGGGCTGGAACGAGATCCCTGGGATTGTTAGCATTGGAGTGTTGAGAGGGATGAGGCACCAGCAGGAATTAAAGGCTCTGAGGCATCAGGAATGTGATGAAGAGGCTGAATCTCATCCATGTCCATGTTTTTCCTGGAAAGCCGTGCTGCCAGATGCAGCCCTTTACAAGGCCAAGTGCACGCTTCCATCAGGGATGCAGGATGGAGGAAGGTCATGGGTGGGATGGAGGAATGCCATTGGAGCTGGGATGGAGGCGTGAGCTGCTGCTCTTTGCTCTCCAGGTCTGTTCTTCCAGCTCTTTTTTTGGGATGTGATTTGGGCCGGTTTGGAGGGGCTGTCCCGTTCCCTGGTGTGTAGGAGCATGGGGAGGGTGCGGAATCCTGGAATGGCTTGGGATGGACGGAACCTTAAGGATCATCCAGTTCCACCCCTCTGCCATGGGCAGGGACACCTCTCATAGCCCAGGTTGTTCCAAGCCGGCCCCGGGGCTGGAAGCCGCTCCTCAGCCTGGAAGCGCGGTGATTCCAAATGCGGCCTCTCAGCTCCCTCTAGAGCCAGAGAGAAGGAAAAAACTTCCAGAAGTTGCTCCACCTGCTCCTGAAATCGTCACCTGGAGGGTCCTGTCCTTTCCCAGGCAGAGAGAGAGGTGTTGGGGTGATGCCAGAAACCTGGACCTAAAAATTCCCGTTCCACCAAGAAATCCCTACCCTGCACACATCAGACATCCAGGGAACCCGGGGGGTCCTCCAGGTCGGCATGGGGTATCCCAATGCTCCTGGAGAAAAGGACAAGGCTGTTTTCTGGGAGGATGAAAAGATGGAGGCAGGAAGGGGCCTCCAAATCCCTCGGGATCCCCTCACCGTGTGTGGTGGCTCCATTCCCAGCCTGAGCTCCCATTTCCCATCATAAATAACAGCATCTCCTTTCCCTCTGACTCCCAATGGAGATGGACAGAGATCCCTGAATCCCTCTTGCATGTCCTCACTGGGGACAAACCCACTGGGATGGAGGAGGGGGAATTCCCAAAAATGGCACTAAAGGAGATTCCTTTAAAACGGGGTTTATAAAGTTCCCTGTCTCAATTAAGTTTTCCTAGGAAATGGCAGGGTTAGGTAATCAATACCTCATTAGGTACCAAGTTAATTGCAGGAGCCATTCCCAAGCAAAGCATCCACAATTTGGGATGGAAAAGGAATCTTGGAGCACCCTGAGGGAAAAGCATCCAACCCTTCCCTGTCCCTCCCTCCCTCTTCCCGTGCAGGATTTTGAGAGCCTCTGCTGGCAAAGCCACCTCGTTGAGCAAGAGGGCCCTGACGAGAATTCCCTGAGCGAGCTTCCCGCAGGGAGCAAAGGGCAGCGGGAGCGTGTCCCTGCCTGGCCAGCACCTCCCGGGGATTTTGGGCAGCAAAAGGACCACGGTGAGGAGGAAGAGGAGGAGGAAGGCACCTGGGAATTCCTGCAGCCCCCTGGGCTGGTTCCCGGGCCATGGCAGCCACCACGGTGACGGACGCCGGCAGCGTGAGGATCATCACGGAGGTGATCCCGGCCACGGATCCCCGGGCGGCCCAGCTGGCCTCAGGCTCCCAGGCACCTGCCAGGACCTCATTCCAAACACAAGGCTTCCGCAGGGCTCATCCCAAGGTGTTGGGGGTGAGACATGACCTTCCAGGGGCCCAGCAGGACTGGGGATCCGCAGGGATTGTCCTGCTGGATGTTCTCCCTGGCTGGGTGGAGGGGATGTTGGGACAGGTGCCTCTCCCAGTCCCTTCCTGGCACTGTGATGTGGGATTGGGCTGGGATGTGCCTCACAGTAACGGGATCGGGATCCATCTCCCTCATCCTTCCCCAGACCATCCACATCTTCACTGGAATTGTCCACATCTGCTCCGGCATCATCCTGACACTGTCAGAGCACAGGAACCCTTCCCTCCCTGTGGCCAGCGGGGTCTTCTTCTGGCTGGGGATCCTGGTAAGTTGGGATGAGGACATGGGAATCTCAGGGAATCCTGGTGAACTGGGGACAATATCCAATAACCATTTCACCCCACATTCTGGGGTGTTTGTGCATCCCTGAACCCCAGTTCCCACCAGGAAGGGTGCCAGGGAAGGGTGCCTTACTGCTAACACCAATTCCCACTGTTTTCCAAGTAGCTCCTGATCTCGGGCTCATTGCTGGTGGAAAGTGAAAGGAGAGACAGCCCTGTGCTGGTAAGATCCAGGTTGGGAGGGACAAGGTGTCCCCCCATTCCTTATGTCCTTTCCAGCACCTGCCAGGACCCCTCCACAGCCTGGATTCATCCCACGGGATCCACAGGCCAGTCTCCCCATTGGGAAGTGCCCAGCTCTCCCACACGGAGCACAGGATGGGGGTCGGGGTCACTGTGAGGGGGATGAAAGGTTCAGGGGCCCTCATGGCTTTGGAATCACTGCGGGATGAGGAGGATAAAAGGTCCAAGGAGGCCCTCACGGCTTTGGAATCACTGTGGGATGAGGAGGATAAAAGGTCCAATGAGGCCTCATGGCCTTTGGAGTCACTGGGGGATGAAAGGTCCAGGAGGCCCTCATGGCTTTGGAATCACTGTGGGATGAGGAGGATAAAAGGTCTAAGGAAGCCCTCATGGCCTTTGGAGTCACTGTGGGATGAGGGGGATGAAAGGTCCAGGAGACCCTCATGGCTTTGTAATCGCTGTGGATTCCAGGGATGAAAGGTCCAGGAGACCCTCATGGCCTTTGGAATCACTGTGGGCTGAGGGGGATAAAAGATTCACGAGGCTCACATGACTTTGGGATCACTGTGGATTCCAGGGATGAAAGGTCCAAGGAGACCCTCATGGTCTTTGGAATCGCTGTGGGATGAGGGGGATGAAGGGTTCAGGAGACCCTCAGGCTTTGGAATCACTGTGGATTCTAGGGATGAAAGGTCCAGGAGGCCCACATGGCTTTGGAATCACTGTGGGATGAGAGGGATAAAAGGTCCAAGGAGGCCCTCATGGCCTTTGGAGTCACTGTGGGACAAAGGGGATGAAAGGTCCAGGAGGCCCTCATGGCTTCGGAATCACTGTGGGATGAGAGGGATGAAAGGTCCAGGAGACCCTCATGGCTTTGGAATCATTGTGGGATGAGGGGGATAAAAGGTTCAGGAGACCCTCATGGCCTTTGGAATCACTGTGGGATGAAAGGTCCGGGAGGCCCACATGGCTTTGGAATCACTGTGGGATGAGGGGATAAAAGGTTCAGGAGATCCTCATGGCTTTGGAATCACTGTGGGATGAGGGGGATGAAAGGTCCAGGAGGCCCTCATGGCTTTGTAATCGCTGTGGATTCCAGGGATGAAAGGTCCAGGAGACCCTCATGGCTTTGGAATCACTGTGGGATGAGGGGGATGAAAGGTTCAGGAGACCCTCATGGCTTTGGAATCACTGTGGGATGAAGGGGACAGGACTGGATGGCTTCTCCAGGAGATCTGTGCTCGCGGTTGGATGATCCCTGTGGGAAGCAGCCCTTCCCAGGGCCTGTGTCACCGGGTGCTCCCCACAGGTCAAGGCCTGCTGCATGCTCAGTGTGGGCATTGTCCTGGGCACACTGGTGGCCATTGGGATTCATGGCACGGCCATCACCCAGATCACGCCCGGCTGTGGGAAACCCGAACCCTTCCAGACCCGCCCAGAATGGTGCCTCCACATGGAGAGCAAGGTAGGACACCGGGATTGCGGGGGAATCCCAGTCTGGGTGGGGTGTGGTACTCAAGGATCCAGGTCCTGTTCGGGTGGTGGATCCTGGGATATTCCTGTGAAAAACGCCAGTCATTTGTTTTTAGAATTTTAAAAGTTTAATGGTAACAAAATGGTTATAAAAATAGTCATATAACTACAGTAATAAAAATTTGGACAATTGGGATTAGGACAATACAAGACAATAAAAACAAAGAGTTATGGATGGTCCAGGTACCTTTTTCTGGGCAACATAAGCTCAAAAAGGGACACACATTAACAGAGGATTAACCCCTAAAAGCAACAGCCTGTTGCATTTCATACACCTCATACGTGGTGTATAAATTCCATTCAAACAAAGAATTCTGTCTGGTCACTGTCAACTGCTTCCTCTTAATCCTGACAGCTGAGCGAGGCAAGAAGAATTTAGTTTCTCCTGATAAGGGAGCAATAAATTCTTTCTCTGAAAGATTTAGGTGTCCTGTGGCTGCTATGTCGGTGCAAGTACCTCATTCCTCTCTTTTAAAAAAAGTATCTTACATAGCCCAGTTTCTATTTTAACATTATGTTGTAACCTAAAACTATATGTGAAAAATGCATATTTTATGATGGGCTTTTTGCAAATATTAAAATGAATATTATATGTGTTGTGTTAGAAAGTTATGCTGTATTCATTCTCTTAAGTAGTGTACTAAGTATAGTTTTAGGTTATAACATAATGTTAAAATAGAAACTACGCTATGTAAGATACTTCTTTTTCTAAAGAAAGGACTCGCACTGAGATAGCAGTGATGGGATACCGAAATCTTTCAGAGAGAGAGAATTTATTGCCCCATTATCAGGAGAAACAAACTTCTCCCCTCCTCGCTCAGGCTGGATGACACCGTCAGGATTCAGAGGAAGAAGTTGACGATGACCAGAGAATCCTGTATTTGAATGGAATTTATGTATCATGTATGAGGTGTATGAATATGCAGCAGGCTATTGTTCTTAAGGGTTAATCCTCTGTTAACGGGTGTACTTTTTCGGGCTTATGCTGCCCAGAAAGAGATACCCGGACGTCCATAACTCTTTGTTTTCATTGTCTCATATTGTCCTAATTCAAATTGTCCAAATGATCATTACTCTAATTGCATTACTATTTTTATAACCATTTTATTACTATTAAACTTTTAAAATTTTAAAAACACGCGATGGGCGCTTTTTGCATATATTTAACACACTAGTTAAGAAAATTATTACAGCATAACTTTCTAACATAACACATATAATATTTATTTTAATATTTGCGAAAAGCCAATCACAAAACAGGCATTTTTCACACTCCCGTTCTCCTCCTCCTGGCAGAAGCTGAGCAACGGCCTGGATTCCATCCTGGCGCTGCTCGGCCTCCTGGAATTCTGCGTGGCCGTGGCGGTTCTGGCATTCGGATACGACACGGTCCGGCAGCACACGTACACCCAGCTGGTGAGGGAGGCGGCAATCCTGCAAATCCCGGGAATGCTGATCCACTCCTTCCTCCCGTGTCCCTCCCGGACATTTCCCTGGATTTCCCTGTGTTTGCTTCCCCAGGCGCTGTAGCCACTGCCCAGCCCCGCACGTGGAGCCCCCTGGGATGCCCTCAGCGTGTTCGGTCCCCAATAAAGGCCTCTCCCCCAGCCCAGCCCGGCCCGCCCGTGTCTCAGGGGGTTACTCGGGGTGCGGGGGGGGGTCGCCCCGAGTGTGTTTGGGGCAGTTCGGGGGCTCCCGGTACCGGCGGCCACGGTGGTGGGCGGAGCTACCCAGCATAAAGATGGCGGCCGTACCCCGTACAAAGATGGCAGCCACCGCAGTGTACGCGGAGGGTGCTGCCCAATACAAACATGGCGGCCATGCCTGACACAAACATGGCGGCCGCCATCGTGCTCGGAGGGTGTTGCCCAACACAAAAATGGCGGCCGGGGAGGCGCTCTGGCTTCTCGCTTCCGCGGGGATCGCGACTCTGACATCATCTCTCCGCGACGGCGCGGGGCCGCGTGGATCATGGAGGGGGAGAACGGGGGGACCCCGGGACCGGCACCGGGAGCGACCCCCGAAGGGCCCAGCGGGGCCGCCGCGGCTCCGGCTCCGACCGCGGCTGCGGCTCGGCGGCGGCGGAAAGGCGGCAAGAAGCGGCAGGAGGCGGTGGTCACCATCCCCCGGGGCAAGCCCAAGTCGGGACGCGTGTGGAAGGATCCCGGGAAGAAGAGGTGGCAATGGGGGGACAGTTCTGCGGGGCTCTAGGCTCCAGAAGGGCTTCTTGGGGGATCATGAGGTGTGAGGTCTGGGGGAGTTTTGAGGGGGACCAGGATTGTTTGGGGTGCTTGTGAGGGGGTTCCGGAGGTATCCATGGGCTTCAGGAAGAATGCAGAGGTGATTGGGATGACTTGGAGGGGATGCTGAGGATGCCGTGGGATGCTCCGCGGAGTTTCAAGAAATTTTAGAGAGGAGCTGGAGTGGCCCCGGCTGCATCCCGAGGTGTTTGGGGATCCAACACCCCCCGTGTGCCCGCGCAGGTTCTCCCACATGATCCAGGACAAGGCGCTCCGCAGCTCCTGGGCACGGAAAATGAAGGAGAGGCAGGAGAGGAAGCTGGTCCGGGATCTGGCACGGCAGCTGGAGGAAGCCAAGCAGAGGGAGAAAGAGGTAACGGGGCTTGGGAGCTCAGAATTCCCATCTTTCCCAAGCACAATCCCATTCTCTGCCCTTTTCCCGGGCCTCAGAGCTGTGGCAGAGCCCAGGAAAAAGGGATGGAGAATTCCCTGTCCTGGTGCCAAATCCAGTCACTTACGGTCACATGCCCCAAGTCACTGACTCGGAATAAACCCCCTGGGTCAATTCCAGCCTCACCCGAGGTGGAAAAGCTGCTGGAATGACAGATTTCACACTTGGCTGGGCTTTGGGTTTAATCTCAGGGGAAGGGATCCTCAGGGAATGTTGTGGTGCTGCTCCCACAGGAAAAGAAGCGGCGGCGGGAGGAGAACCTGAAGCGGCGCCTGGAAAACGAGCGGAAAGCCGAGATTGTCCAAGTGGTGAGTCCCCTGTACCAGCTGGGAACAGCCCTGGAGCACCCCACAATCTCCAGCCCCCATGGATCAGCCTCCAGTTTGCTCCAGTTCCTCTCCCTGTCTTTGTCTTTGGAGGAGCCTGGGAGATTCCCAGTAAAGCTGGGCATGCTGGAAGTGTGTTCCCTGTGTTCTCCCAAGTTGGGGAGCACCAGAACATGGGGTGGTGGAGCGAGGAAAATGGTGGAGATCCATGTGGGGAAAATGTGGCTTTTCCATCAGGAAGAGACCTGGCAGCTTGGGATAGCTGTGGCAAAGACCTCACCTGTGAGTGAGGATGGGGTTGGTTTTGGGATAAATCCCTTCCTAGATCCCGAAGGTGGTGGGAAGCTAGGAGCCCTCCATGCCCATCCTGCCTCATTCCCACACTCTGCTCCATTCCTGGAAGTGCTCCAGGACAGGGCTTGGAGCACCCTGCACCAGTGGAAAGCGTCCCTGCCCACAGCCAGGTGGGGAGCTGGATCATCCCTAGGGTCCCTTCCAACCCAAACGATTCCAGCATCCTGTGATTCCATGGGATCTCCTCTCCTTTCCCGTTTCCCAGATCCGGAACCCCCTGAAGCTGAAGAGGGCCAGGAAGAAGCAGCTGAGGCGGGTGGAGAAGCGGGACACGCTGGCCTTGCTCCAGAAGACGCCCGTGAGGCGCAGCACGGCCACGGAGTGAGGCAGGATTTGGGATCCTGCTCCTCCCCAGGGGCTTCTCCTCAGCTTGCCAGGCTGGAATCGCTGCCAGGAGCCTCAGGGTTGGACAAACAACGGGACAGAGCTGGGGGAGTGCATTCCACAGGCACCAGCTGTGGGATTCCCCCTGTGGAATCAGGATGTGGCCGGTGCCAGAGGCTGGAACAGAACTTTGCTTTCCCAAGTTTGCCTTGTTCTTATAAAAATGAAAAGGGACTGAGACAGATTCGCCTCCAGTGACTCGGGGGACTGAGGGCTCCTGCTGGGGCCTTCCTAGGATTGGAGTGTGCTATGGCCCCTCGTTTCTTGCATTTCTCCAAAGAGGGAATTCCCGTTGGGAATGAGACCCAGAACGTGTCAGCAAGGAAGGGGGCACAGTGTCACACACCCTCCTGTGGGGGGCAACACTGGGAATTTGGCAGGGGATGGAAGTTGGAAATCCATGTGGATTTCTTAACATTCCTGGTTTTTCTTGGTCCATGGACACCCCTTTCTGCATTCCTGGGGAGGGATGTGGCTCTGAGCTGGGATAGAGGGGATGGGGGGACAAAGGGGTGCACTGGCTGGAAAATGGCACTGCAGGAATCAGCATGGAGCCCTGGGATGGGAATATGGAACCCTGGAGCTTCATCCTGGGGTGGCAGTTTTGGGGGTGGCCCTGAACCCTGAATTGGAATGGGGTGTGTCCCACCCGTGTGCAGGAGTGGGGAGGTTCCACAGGGAAAGTGGGGACTGACAGGAATTTCGGGGTGTGGCCGGTGCCAGGCAGGCACGGGGTCATGGGGCAGGAGGGCTCTGCCCTCGCCGTTCCCAGGTTAATGATTTCCAAGGAATCCTCCAGCGTCGCCCTGTGCAGAGCCCACGGCCCAGGCTGTGCCCAGCGGGGTAAGAGAAGGGGAAGCTCGGGCCCTTGGGGGCCGATTTCCTGCTGTCACGGGTGTGGGAGGACCACGAGAAGCACGAGTCTCCTCCCAGGGCTGGACCGGGGCCAACATCCCAGTTCCCAGCCTGCCGTGCTGCTCGGAGCGGGAGCGGGGTGCACGCAGCACCGGGGGGCTCCGAGCCCCTGGATCCCCACCCTGCTCCGGCTCCGGGGTGGGCAGGAGGAGGATAAGGAGCGGGGACAGTGGGTGTTGGGAATGGCGGGGCTGGGAGACACAGGGAAAAGGGGTGTCCCGGCTGCTGGGTGAGTTTTGGAGCAGGGGTGTGGGGTCAGAGGGTGGGGAGGGGTGAGGAAGGGGGGGGATGGGGACAGGGAAGGAGAGGATGGGGATCATGGAAGGTGGGAACCAGGGAAGGAGGGGACAAGGACCAGGACAGAAGGGACAGGGACCACGATGGGATGGGGGTATATGGGAAAGCAGGATGCTAGCAGAACTATCTGGATCACAAAACCCAACCTGGGGTTCTCCGGTGAGGATCCCTGGGGACAGGCCCCTGCCACCAGCTCCTCCTGGGCATGGCAATCCCTGTGGGACACTCGGGGTGATTCCCATTCCCAGGTGCACCATGGTGGAGGTGACGGTGACGCCGCAGTCCTCGCTGGCCGACCGGCCGGTGCAGATCCGTGTGCGGGGACTGTCCCCATCCCAACTGGTCACGCTCCGGGCCTGGCTGAAGGATGAGCAGGGCGAGTGCTTCCAATCCCGCGCCTTTTTCCGCGCCGATGGAGCGGGAGAGGTGGATCCCGGGCTCCACGCCGCCCTGGGGGGCAGCTACTCCGGGCTCTGGCCCATGGGGCTCCTGTGGTTCCTGCAGCCCGACACGCTGTTCCGGCGGCTGGTGAAGCGGGACGTGGCCGGCAGCCCCTTCCGCGTGCGGCTGGAGGTGTGGGACGGGCTCAGCCTGGGCACGGATCCGCGGGAGCAGCCGCTGGCATCCTGCGAGGCCGAGCGCTGGTACGTGGGCCCCGGAGTGCAGCGGGTGCCCATCCGCGAGGGAAGGGTCCGTGGCGCCCTGTTCCTGCCTCCTGGTGAGCACTGGGCAGCGGGAAATTCGGGATATCAAACCCAGGGAGTGGGGAATTCAGGATATCAAACCCAGGCAGCGGGGAATTGCGGGATATCAAACCTAGGGAGTGGGGAATTCGGGATATCAAACCTAGGGACTGGCAGGGTGTGTGTTCTTGGGAGACCTTTGGTGCCCAGCCTTGGGACCCCTGGGATACCCAGCCAGTATTCCCTTGGGATACCAGACCTTGGGAGCCCTGGATACTGATACTGAGCTTTGGGATCCTGGGGATGCCAAACACTGGGACCCCTGGGAAACAACACTGGGATCCCTGGGATGCTAAACCATGAGATTCCTGGGTTATCCAGCCCTGGAAGCCCTGAGTTAGCAAATCTTGGGACTCTTGGAATGCCCAAAATTGGGATTCCTGGGTTGTCCAGCCTTGGGATTCTTGAGATATCAAACCTTAGGATCTTGGAGTGCCCAACCTCGGGACCCCCAGGATACAAAGTTGGGATTCCTCAGTTGTCCAGCCTTGGGATCCTTGAGATATCAAACCTTAGGATCTTGGGACACCCAGGACACTGGACCTTGTGCCCCCTGGGATGCCCAGCCATGGAACCTCCGGGATGCAGGACAGCATGGGTGGCTCCCCATCCCTGACATTCTCCCTGTCTTCCCACAGGTCCGGGCCCCTTCCCTGGAGTCATTGACCTGTTTGGGGGTGCGGGGGGCCTGATTGAGTTCCGGGCAGGGCTCTTGGCCAGCCGGGGCTTTGCCGTGCTGGCCCTCGCCTTCTTCGCCTACGACGACCTGCCCCGAGTCCTGGCCCAGCTGGACCTGGAATATTTCGAGGAAGCGGCAGAACTGCTGCTCCGGCATCCCAAGGTGAGTCCTGGAGTGTGGAGAAAGGCACCTGTCAGCCAGGATGGACTGGGGATTGGGGGCAACCTGGTGAGCAGGACGTCCGGGTGACCAGAGATTGTCCTGGGGACCAGGAATGTCCTGGGGACATCCTCATCCTGGTGAGCGGGATGTTCAGGTGCCCAGGGGTTATGTCCCAGGGACTGGGGGATATCCCATGAGAACATCCTTGTCCTGGCACCCAGGGAATCCCAGTAAATGTATTATCCCTGTGTGTTATCCCAGCTGGCTCCATTTCCTCTTCCTTCAGGTCCGAGGCCCCGGCCTGGGCGTGGTGGGCGTCTCCAAAGGCGCGGAGGTGGCCTTGGCCATGGCCACCTTCCTGCCACAGGTGGCGGCCACGGTGTGGATCAACGGCACGAGCTTCCTGTACGGAAACCCGCTGCTCTACAAGGAGCTGCGCATCCCGGCCATCCCCTACCACACCGAGCGCGTCCTGTTCACCGAGGTGGGAGCCATGGACAACTCGGCCATCTTCGACGACCCCCGGGACGCCGCGCACCGCGCCTCGGCCATCCCGGTGGAGAGGATCCGGGGCAAGGTGCTGTTTGTGGTGGGGGAGGCCGACCGCAGCTTCAACAGCAAGCTCTTCGCCGAGCTGGCCCTGGCGCGGATGCCACCAGAGAGCGGCCGGGTGCTGTCCTACCCCGGCGCCGGGCACCTGATCGAGCCCCCCGGGTCCCCCCTGTGCAGCAACTCCGCCATCCGCGGCACCCCCAAACCCGTGGCCTGGGGGGGAGAGCTCCAGCCCCACGCCCGGGCACAGGAACATTCCTGGCAGGAGATCCTGCAGTTCTTGGAGCTCCATCTGGGCTCAGTTGCCACCATGAAGTTGTGAGGGGTGGGGAGAAGGGGTGGTGGGATTGTCACTGTTGGGGAATAAAGTGTCACCACTGGTGGCTGCTGCCTGTGCTCCTGTGGGATGATGTGTGGGACAAAGGTTAGACACAGATTAGGGAAATCTATTGGAGATATTTGGGAGATACATGAGATATATGTTGGATACATATGGGACATACATCAGATACATATATATATAGGATGTATATTGGACATATGGGATAGATATATTGGATATATATTAGCTGTATATTGGACATATATATAGGATATTTATTGGATATATATGGAACATGTAGAACAGACAGCCCAGACATATATTGGACATATATAGCTCATATATAAGATAGATAGTAGACCTATACATATCTTTTTTATATATATATACATACATATATACATGTATATATGTCTGTGTGTGTGTATATATATATATATAGACACACACACACGTATATATATATATATAGACACACACACACACACACATATATATATATATATATATATATACACAAGACATATATGGGGCACATATAGAACATATATTGGCCATATATCAGCCCAGCCATGGCTCTGGGGCCACACTGCTCTCTCTGCAGCTGCCCCCACTTCCAGAGGAGGTTTGAGGGAATCACATCCAGCCCCTGGCTCCTCTGGCTGGGACCCCTGTGCTCCTCGGAGCTGGCGTGACCCCATTCCCACACCCAGGGCATGGGACAGGGAGTGGCAGTGACTGTCACTCCAGGAAGGGGTGATGCGGTGTAATCTGCAGTAAAGATAAATCTCAGAAATGAAACTTGGGGAAAGGTAGGCATAGGGAATGCACAGGGAGGACTTTGGATCCCCTGTGGCACTGCCAGCAGGGCACAAACAGGGCACAGCAGGGATTTGGGGTAACTGGCTGATTTCCAATCTCTCAGGCGTCACTGGGACCGTGCCACTGTGTCCCCTGGTCCTGTGGCTATTCCAGGAGTGGCGTGTCCAGATGTCACTGCTGTCCCCAGTAGCTCTGGGGAGGTGGCCACACACCAGTCTTCTCCTTTCCCCCTGGATAACTTGATCCAGCTGGGCATCCCGCCTGGCACCAGTTCCATTCCCTGTTCTCTGGGACAGCCTCCAAGTGTGGGATAAGCTTGGTTTGTCCCTGGTCACCGTGACACAGCCACAGGAGGTGACCACAGGGCTGGGGCACTGAGGTCACCGGTGGCAGGGGAGCGAGGAGCCCTGGGCAGAGCTCATCCCACAGGATCAGCTGATCCTGATCCCCCCCCGCATCCCAGCCATCCGGATATAAATCCACACCGCAGAGCCCCGTGCTCCGTCCGTGTCACCGCCATGGGACGGAGCTGCTCCTTCCTCCTGCTCCTCTTCCTCCTGTCCCCGTGGCCCAGAGCCACCGTGGCACTGCTGCAGTACCGCCACGACTGCGGAGAGCTGGGAATGCAGCTCCTGGTCTTCCCGTCCCACGGCCGCACCGTCCGCTTCAAGGTTCTGGGTGAGTGGGGGCCTCCCTGGATCCCCTTGGGTGCTGGATTTCTCTGGGACTCCCCTCAGTCCCGGAGTGCTCTGTGAGTGATGGTGTCCCAATGGGATGAGCCCAATGGCTTGGATGAGCTGCTGTTGCTGCCCGGGGAATTTCCATGCACATGGATGTGTCACATCCCTGTATCCATGGTGTCCCTCCAGACGAGTTTGGCTCCCGCTTTGATGTGGCCAACTGCTCCATCTGCCTCCACTGGCTGAATTCCAGGGAGGACGGCTCTGTCATCTTCTCCTCTGGCTACAAGGGCTGCCACGTCCTGTTCAAGGTGACGCTCCTGTCCCCTCCGTGGTCCCCTCCAGCAGGATGGGGGTGACCATCCCTTGTGTCCCCCCTCAGGAGAACCGCTACATCCTGCGGGTGCAGCTGGAGGAGCTGCTGTCCAGCGGGATCCCCGTCACCTCCTACGAGGTCAACATGACCTGCCCCAAGCCAGATGGCTCTGAGGCGCTCCCAGATGGAACCCAGGGGATGAGCCGGGACAGCCCAACGCTGTTCTCCCACACTGGCCTGCACCAGGTCTCGGGCTCCTCCCTCACCCTCACGGGATCCCACTTCTCAGCCCAAGATCTCGTGGAGCAGGTTCACGCCGTGGGACAGTACCAGCCCAGCCCAGTGCTTCCCGGGATCCACCACCATTCCAGCCCAGCCCACTCGGGGCTTCTGTCCCAGCCTGCTGGGGTTCATCCTGTCAACCCAGTCCAGGGAAGCTTCTTCCACCCAGCAGTGCAGCCCTCCCAGCCTGGGGAGCAGAGCCAGCCAGGGTTCCTTCGCCCAGTGCTCGTATCCCAAAACCATCCCAGTTTGGGGCATCAGGGGGGCCAGACCCAGCCGGGGCACCTGCGTCCAGGGTCTGTATCCCAAAATCAGCCTGGGATTCGCCCAGGGTCTGTATTCCAAAACCAGCCTGGAATGATGCATGCTGGGGGTCAAAACCAACCAGGGATTCACCCAGGATCTGTATCCCCAAATCAGCCTGGGATTCGTCCAGGGTCTGTATCCCCAAATCAGCCTGGGATGACGCATTCCGTGGGTCAAAACCAACCAGGCATTCATCCAGGGCCTGTATCCCAAAATCAGCCTGGGATGATGCATTCCGTGGGTCAAACCCAACCAGGCATTCGTCCGGTATCTGTATCCCACAACCAGCCTGGGATGGGGGGGATACATCATGGGGGTCAAAATCAACCAGGGATTCGCCCCGGGTCTGTATCCCAAATTCATCCTGGGGGTCAAAATCAACCAGGGATTCGCCCCGGGTCTGTATCCCAAATTCATCCTGGGGGTCAAAATCAACCAGGGATTCGCCCCGGGTCTGTATCCCAAATTCATCCTGGGGGTCAAAATCAACCAGGGATTCGCCCAGGGTCTGTATCCCAAATTCATCCTGGGGGTCAAAACCAACCAGGGATTCGCCCAGGGTTTATATCCCCCAACCAGCCTGGCTTGACCTCCACCGGTGCCCAGACTCCAGCAGGATTCCAGCGCCCGGGAGGTCAGCCCCTAAACCAGCCAGGCATATCTCGTCCCAATCATCCCTCCAACTCCCAGACCGGGTTCCCAGGCCACGCTGGGCTGCTCCATCCCAGCCCAGCTTTGGTGCACCCAGGACTCTCATCCTGGCCAGGTTTCATCAGCCCTGGACACCAGGCTGAGCCCCAGCCCGGCCTGGGACTCCCTGGGCTGCGGCCCCAGCCTGGATTGCTGCATCCTGGGATTCACACCCAGCCCAGCCTGCTGCAGCCCACAGCGCTCTTCTACCCCTCGCCAGGGGCAGGTAAGGCAGGAAGCTGGGATGCTAGCATAAAGGGAAACGGCCTCTAGGTGCTTTTTGAACCCACATTCCTGCTGTGTCCCCTCTGTGCTTCCCGCAGGAACGCAGCTGACCCGGGAGCAGTGCCAGGTGCCAGTGGGCCGGATGCCGTGCGTGGCTCCGCAGGGACGGGATGCGTGCCTGCAGGCGGGATGCTGCTACGACGACATGGACCGCACCACACCCTGCTATTACGGGAATACCGGTAGGGATACCCGGAGGGCACGTCCCAAAATCCCTCCCCGGCGCCGGGAGAGGGTGCTCAGAGTGACGGAGCCTCTCCGTGGTGTCGCAGCCACCGTGCAGTGCCTGCTGGAGGGACACTTTGTGCTGGTGGTGCCGCGGGGAATGGTGGCCCTGCCGTACAACCTGGACACCGTGCGGGTGGCCGGCGGCCAGGCAGGGTGCGAGCCCCGCCACGTGTCCGAGGCCTTCGTCATGTTCCGCTTCCCGGTCACCCACTGCGGCACCACCGTCCAGGTAGGGCGGGAAATCCCCGGAGAACCTCCAGGTGGGCACGGTGGGGTCACCCCAGGATAGGAGTGCCCCAGTCCCTCCAAAACTTCAATGAAAAACTCACCCACATGCTGCCTCCTGCCTCAAATCCTGATCCGTGCATCCCCCAGGATGTTTCCCATTCCGGTGTTCCCTGCACAGGTGATCGGGGACACGCTGGTCTATGAGAACCAGCTGATCTCCACAATCGATGTCCAGGGATCCCCCCGTGGCTCCGTCACTCGGGACAGTGTCTACATGTAAGGCGGGGGGGTGGAAAAATCGAGGCAGGGAGCCTGGATTCCCCCTCGGATCAAACCATCCCTCCCTCCTGCCACGTCCCTGGTGGTGTCCCCACACGTTGGGCTGGGGGGCTGATGGAGGATTTGGGAGTCTCCCACCTTTCTCTCCCTCTTTTCCCCAGTCTCCGAGCTCGGTGCATCTACAACTCCAGTGACCTCCTTCCCTTGGGAGTGGAGGTGGCCGTGCCCCCCACATCGGCCCCCCTGGCCATGCTGGGCCCGCTGGGGCTCCAGCTGCGCATTGCCACCGGTCAGTGCTCCCCATCCCGCTCCCCATCCCGCTCCCCATCCCGCTCAACCCCTCCCAACATTCCCACAGACGAATCCTACAGCTCCTACCATGCTGTGGGTGACTTCCCCCTGGTGAGGGTGCTCCGGGACCCCATTTACGTGGAAGTCCGGCTGCTCCAGAAGACGGATCCCAATTTGGTGCTGGTGCTGCACCACTGCTGGGCCTCCCCTGGCTCCCACGCCACATCCCAGCCCCAGTGGCCCATCCTGGTGGAAGGGTGAGTGGAAAAGGACGGGAAGATGGAAGTGAGGGGGGCACTGTGCTGACACAGCGTCCTTGTTTCCCGCCCAGGTGTCCCTTCCAAGGGGACAACTACAGGACACGGCTGATTCCGATGGGTCCGGCCTCTTCGGAGCTGCCCTTCCCGAGCCACTACCAGCGCTTTGTCATCTCCACCTTCGCCTTTGTGGAGCCCCCCAAAATGGCTGTGCTGGAGGGGGAGGTGAGGGGGAGCCCCCTGAATCCATATGTTGGGAATCTCTCATCCCAACACCCCCAGACCCACCCCAGCACTGAGCTCACTTTCAGCTGCGCACAGTCCTTTCCTGTTGGGAAGATCACACTGCTTTTGGGAGGTTCCTCAAGGCTTGGGAATGCTTTTTGGGAGTTTCTTCAGGCTTGGGGCCCCTTTGTGGGGATCCCCAGGTGAGGCTGGCATTCCTGTGACTCCCAGGTGTACATCTCCTGCAGCGCCTCCGTGTGCCACCTGGCCCAGCCGGAGCCCTGCCGGCCCTCCTGCCAGCTGGGAGTGCCCTCACGTGAGTCTGGGAGCCTCCAGGGATTTGGGAAGACCTCTACGTGTCCCACCCCTTCTTCCCAAGCCAACCTGCTGCTCCCCACAGGAGTGCGGAGGTCTCCGGGGGACAGGAGCACAGGTGACAGCATGGGGACAGTCACATCCCAGGGATGCGTTGTGTTTCCTGAGGCTCCCAAGAGAGGGGGAGCTCAGCAGAGAGGCTGAGGGGTGAGTGCCTTCTGCTCCCTAAAAACCCCTTCATCCCAAACACCCCTTCATCCCTCTAAATTATCTCTTCCCCCCTCTTCCTCCTCCCAGCTCCAGCCTCTACCTGGATGCTGTTGGATGTCTCTGGGAAAGCTGGAAAAATAAAACCAGAGCAAAACACAGCTCTAAGTGTGGTTTGTCCTTTGGAGGGAAGGAAAGAGGCACCCTCATCCCCATTCCCAAGCTGGCAGCAGCCACAGACCCCCCCAAATCCCACCCTACTACACCCCAGCCCTTCACAGGAGCCTTTTCCAGCTGGGATGACAGGGAATAATTCTTTATTTCCATACTGAAACTAAGTAACTGCTTACAAAACTGCACAGTCTTCCCTTCCCTCCCTCCTTCCACACATCCCGGCCTCTAACTTTCACCAGCACCAGGACTGGGTTTTTTTGTCAAACCAGTTACAAGCACAAAACAATCTAAAGGTGGAAAACACACAGAATTGGGGAAAAAAACTAAACTATAAATCCACGGAGCACGGGGAAGGCAATGTCTGACTTCCCTTACACCAACAGCTACAACAGGGGAGCTTGATAATCCCACATGGATAATCCCACATCCCACCCACCTCCCACCCCCAATCCCAAAAAATCCCAGCCCCACTTCCAGGGCTACAGGCTGTAGAACTTGAGGCTCCGGTCCATGCCTGTGGAAGCGATGAACTTGGCATGGTGGCCAAAGGCCACTCCTGTGGTCAGACCACTGTGCTCTGGGGACAGAAAACAATCCATGGTCACAATTCCAAGTGGACTTGTCCCATTCCCGCCCCAGCCACTTCCATGATTCCCAGAGCCCCTCACCTGTGAAGTGGAGGATCTCTGTCCACTGCTTGCAGATGTAGATCTGGACATCAGTCCCGCCCAGCGCCAGGTAGGTCCCGCTCTGGTCGAAAATCAGGGACTTCACCTGCAGAGAAGAATCACAACAAGGCGTTGAAAAAGCTCCCAAAAAGGCTTTTCTGGGATGCCACAACCCCTGGAGCAGAGAGGGACATCACACACCTCAAAGTTGTTATCCAGCTGCAACGTCTTGAAGTTCTTGAGCTTCCTCAAGTCCCAGAGCTTGACGGAGGAGTCGTCGGCTGCCGTGGCCAGGTAGTATCCGTTCTCGGAGAAGGCGATGCTGGTGATGGGGCCCGAGTGTCCTGGGAAGTTGGCCACGTTGGTGCGTTCCTGGGGACAAGGTGGGCACAGGGAATCACAGAGTTGGGATGTGGCATTGTTCCCAACCGGCCTGTGTGGTCACGGCGTCACCAGCGGCTGCTCTGCGGCTGGAACCTTGGGATTTTTGGAGAAACCTCCAAAAACATTCCTCAAAGTCCTGCTCCTTGGACTGATCCCCAAACCAAGCTCAGACAGCCCCAAACCCCTCTTCCTGCACATTCCCAGCAGCCCTCACCTTCAGATCCCAGATCTTGATTTGGGAATCCATCGTTCCCGTCCCAAAAATGAGCCCGTCCGGGTGGAACTGCGCACAGGTGAGAGCTGTGGAGACAGCAGGAGAATCAGACACTTGGGATGACTCCCAAGAGGGTTGGGAAGATTTGGAAGATCAGGAAGGCTCAGGAAGGTTGGGGAGATTCACAGGGTTGGGAAGATACAGGGAGCTGGGAACACTTTGAGAGTTGGGAACACTCAATAAGGTTGATGAGATTAGAAGGGTTGGAAAGACTCAGGAAGGTTGGGAAGGCTACCAAGAGCACTCCAAAGGAGTTCCCATGAACTCCAGGAGCCAAGGGATGCCCAGAATGGGGAAATCAACTCCAAGGCTTACCACATCCAGAGCTCTCATCCGTCACCTTGGTGAGGACCCGGCCGGTCTGGATATCCGAGAAAGCCCAGTACTGGGAGAGAGGAAGAGCGTTGGATATGGGAGGGGTGGGAAGCACAGGTGGGATCTGTGGGATGGGGAGGGATTCACCTGGTCATCCGAGGAGCTGAGCAGGTAATCACCCGTGGCGTGGAGGCTGAGCCCGGTCACGGAGCCCTCGTGGGCACGGACCACCTGCACACAGGAGGCGTTGGGAACGGACCAGATCCGGATCGTGGCGTCGGGAGAGGCCGAGAACACCAAGTCCTGCAAAAGGACAACACCAGAAAGTTCACATGGGAGGAATTCACCTCTCCAAGGGCTCCCAGCAGGAGATTCCAGCAGAGGAGGGTGCTGACATCCAGACTTGAGGCATCCTGGGAGTGAGGGAAGAGCCAGACGCACCTGGGATGGGTGGAAGACGACGCTGGTGACCTTCTTGGTGTGGCCCTTGAGCGTGGCCAGGATCTGCTCCGAGCTCTTGTCGAACACGATGACGTTTTTGTCGGCTCCACCTGGAAAACCGAGCGGGAAGCACTGGGATGGGAGTGTGGGGCCAACCAACCCCAAATCCACCTGCCTCATGTCCCCTGTCCTCCTTCAAACTCCCAAAAACACAGAGAAAGACATCCATTCCCAGTTGGGAAACCCCCAGGAAAGCTTCCTTACCAGTGAGGATCTTGTTGGTGTCGGAAGGACACAGATCCAAGGCAAGAATTCCTGGGATGCTGGCGCTGTGCAGTCCCTGTGTGAGCGAAGAGATCCCCAAATTACTGCCACAGGCAGCAGCAAAACCCTCCCAAAAGGAATCTAGACGCAATTCCCAGCTCCATGTGGGAGCTTCCCTGTCCTTTCCCATCCCAGCACTCACCACGTGCGAAGCCACCTGCCGGTACTTGCTGAGCTCCTCCGGCTTCACCAGCTCCTCTGGGACGGTCTTGCCCCTCTGGAAAAATCAGGGATAAACATTAACCTTGGCTGGAGCACAGCACATCCCAGCTCCCTCCAAATCCTTGGGTAAGGCCACTCACCTTCTTACGCTCCGTGGTCAGCACCGTGGCCTTGTCTTGGAGCTGGAAAACAAGAGGAGGGTGGGCACAGAGCAGGAATTCTGCGCTGGGGAGATGGAGAGAGGAACACGTGGAACACTGCCCCTACCTTCTGGATGATCTCCGGGGTCATTCCCGCCAGCTCTCCCAGATCCATGGCCTCGCCAGCGCCCTGTGTGGCACAGAGAGAAGGGACATGCAGAGAGGGAATGTGGGAGCAATGAGTGGGAAAAGGGCTGGGAATGAGCGGGAAAAGGGCTGGGATGAGGAGCAGGACTCACGGCCACGTTGGGCTGCGCTGACGGCACCGCCTGGGGCACAATGAGCCCGGCCTGAGGCTTCAGCGTGGCCAGAGCTGCAGAAACACAACAGGTTTAAAGGAAAATCAGGATAAAACACTTCCCAGCGCCCCTTCCCGGGAATGCCAGGTGTGGGAATGCCCCGTGTTGGTGTCACCTTCTCTGGCGGCCGTGACCTCCTTGGTGAGGCGGGCGATGACCCTGCAGGCGGCGTCGTGCTGGTACAGGGCGTGGGACAGCTCCTGGCGCGTGGTCTGCAGCTGCTGCCGCAGCGTGAAGCTGTGCAGCATCACGGCGTCCTGCGGGAGCGCCGCCGTCAGCCGGGAACGTCAGCCGGGACCGGCACTGGGACCATCCCGGCAACCCCCCCGGCGCTCACTCACCCACTCGTCCTGCAGGGCCTTCAGGATGGCCGGGATGCTGGTGGCCGAGGGCGGCTTGGGCCGGATCGGGTGCGCGACTGGAGGAAAGATGGACAGGTCATCCATGTCCCTGATATCCCTATGGATTGGCACTCCCATTCCTTTCCTTCCCCATTTCACCATCCCTTCTTTACCCCGCTCCTTCCCGGCCTCCACAGCTGAGTTTGGCACCTCAAACCCCGGAACACCTCGGGCACCGCCATTCCCGCCCCCGGGGGAGCCGCTTTTCCCGGAGGAGCCGCTTTTCCCGGGAGAGCCTTTGCCAGACCCGTTCCCGTTCCCGGTACCTTTGATGTCGATGAGCTGCTCCTCGGACAGCGGCTGGTTGTTGACAGGGTCGGTGCCGTTCTCCGCGATGTATTTCTCGATCAGCCGCCGCTCGTACACGTGGTTGGACACCGGCGACACACACGGGTGCTCCGGGACCTCGTTGGAAACTGCGGGGGGAAAGGAAGGATGGGACGGGACGGCAACGAGGGTTTGGGAACTCCGTGCCCGGTGATCCCTCGGTGACCCCGGCTGTCCCCGCCCCGCACCCTGGGATCCCCCGTTCGGTAGCGCTCCCCGCCCGCACTCCGTGGCCACTCTCTCTCCGCACTCACTGGAGCAGATGAGCGCCATGGCGGAGGCCGGGGGGTCGCGGCTCTCCGGTTACGGCCCCGCTGCCCTTCCGAGGCTGTTTCCGGTTCTCTTTTCCGGTCCGGGGTCCCGGTTCCGGTTCCGGTTGGCGCGCGCGGCCCCCGCGCCGCTCCCGAGCGCTCACGCGGGCGCCGCCGCCGCCGGAACCGGAAGCGCTCCCGGCACTCCCCGCGCTCCCCCCGCCGGCGGGAACGGCGCTTCCCGGCGTGCACCGCGCGCCGCCGCCCGCCTCCGGCTGTTGCCATGGTGACCGCGCTCCCGGCATGCCCCGCAGCCGTCCCGGGAACTACAACTCCCGGCGTGCCCCGCGGCGGAGCCCAGGGAAGCCCCGGTGAGGGGGGGTCGGGGGGGACCCTGGGGTGGGGGGCGGAATTCGGGCAAAATTGGGGTAAATTTGGGGAAAGCTGGGAGGGAAATGGAGGGAGAATGGGCGCGGGGCGCTCCAGGGGGGAGATTGGCAGGATGAGGGAGCCGCGGGGGGGGTTCCGGGGGGGAATCCCGGGGGAACCGGGGGATCCTGCGGGGTGGGGGGGACAGTGAGAGGTGGGTACAGAGGGGCCTGGGGGGATCCTGGGGGGATCCGAGAGATCCCGGACACCCCGGAGATGTGGGTGGGGTGCGCACAGAGGGATTTGGGGGTCCAGTGGGCACTGGGGAGATCCAGGGAAGTGCGGGGGGATTTTGGGAATCGTAGAGGGTGGAGGGCCTGGGGAGGGGGGGCGGGCACAGGGGAGATC